GTTGTCATATTTTGCCCTATAAAGCAGAGAAATTAATATTGAATTAATTAATTAATTTTAAAATTAATAAACTGCTTTGTCTGCTTTTGCTCTATGTAAAAAATTCAATAGTAAAAAAAAAACTAAATCTGAAAATTATTACTACTGAACAGGAATTAACCTCTCAGTATGCTTCTATGTCATGATAACGACAAGCCACACGAAAACACCGGGCGTACTACAATATGACCGTATCATTTTGTTATGTTATAAAAGAACCTGCACTGCATTTTTACAATTCTTCATGGAACATTAACTCATGGAACGAAACTTAATTATTTTCAATCGCTTTCCTGTGTCGTCTCAGAATGGTTAAAGCATCGCTCTGTGATTCCGAAGCTACCGAGTTCGAGCTTCCCAGCTGATATGTTTTCGAAACTGTGGTTTTTTAATTTATTACGGCTTATCTAAATTATTTATTTGGATTCTATTCATGTTTTACACTATTTTTTCCATTATTATTATTATTATTATTATTATTATTATTATTATTGCATTTCATCAAGTTTTACATTATTTTACTTAAGAATTTTATTGTATTTGTATTTATCTAAAATTTTCTATTTTTTAATGTATGCAAGGACTATTTTTCACGATTTTCGTCTTTTAGGCGGCATTGTGTGCTTTAGCCTTTTAAAGAGCCATTCAATTATCTATCAAGACGAGCTAGCCATAAGCCTGTTGAGTAAACACGATATCCTTATCCCTTCTAAGATACCAAGTAAAGAGAAAGGTAAGTCCTGTTTAATTGCTACCGACCGGCTCACCTTGTGATCAGTAATTCAGGGGAGCGGTTCGATAAGAAGTATTGTTTATGAGAAATAAATTGGTCTTTAGGAGGTTTTTGTTACCAATTTTGATACTGAATAGAAAATAATAGAATCTAAAATTTTGCCGGTAGTTGTGGTTAAAAGTCTAATATCTTACTTTCTCTGTCATAAATTTCTTTAATTGTAGTGGCTTAATATGGTGGCATATGATATATATAAATATAATATCAATTCCTTCATAAAATATCGCCTTTACTGAAATGCCATTAAAAGAAAACCAAAGACAATGAAAATGAAACTCATCCCTCAGCGCTTCAGTGCTGAATTTAAGGGTTAATCACGCCAAATAGTGTCATCATTTTCCCTCTATTCATGGTTTTCGGCCTTCAGAACGCATTGGATTGTGACAAAAAAAAAAAAAAAAAAAAAAAAAAAAAAAAAAAAAAAAAACTCGTCTACTACAGAACGCATTGGATTGCGTTTAAATGTGATGTAATACTCCAATCCTCCCATCTCGTAATTCAACGCGCGTGCGCGACTGATAAATTTTTATTTTTTTATTAAATTTAAACTCGGTAACCCAGGTTGCAAGGCGATCACTTGGCGACGATTTCAGTAGCGTTAAAGTTCTGCTAAAGCCAATCATGTAAAATGTTTTTTTCTTTTTTAGTAAAATTTGTGGATGTTACTGACCGCAGTAAAATGTGTACGCGATTCTTTATGAAAGATCTAGCGTTTACACTTTTAATTTAAACGGTGCCACGAAATCCTTGCTGCATGAAAGAGCCTTTAGCACTGTACAGCTTTTAAAAAATACTTTATGAATTAATAAATAGTCTTAAGTTTTGATCCGGTAGTCTTAGGATAAACAGCGCTGCAGTTTAAAAGCTATTTTCACAGGTATACTCCTCCTACTCTGCCACAAAATTCGACTCAGTAGCCCTTTTTTTCTTTCTTCAATAAAATCTTCATGATGCGTTTTAAGTACGAGTGAAACAATATTCCGTAACATTATTCTTGAATTTATTTCAACAAACAGACACGTGTAAATATTATCTACATCATATAAAGTATTCGACAAGAGTCAAATAATGATATTTGTTGAGAAAAATTTATTCCTGTATAATTTCGTATTAACGCACTAAGTCAAGCTTATTTATAATGATATTTAAAAATTTTCAAGTCAACCTTAGTTATTAAAAATAATGGAGGTCATGGGTGGTCAAAATTAAAGTGAAAGTAAGCAATTTTGCAGCACATTTTGACATCGTGAACTTAATTTATTACGTTAAAATGTTTTTGCTAACTTATTTGCTTTCGCTTTGAATGCCTAGAAATTTTCATTGAAAGTATGAGTTATAACTTTTGTAATAACATTACATCACATAGAATAAAAATGGGAAAACATTATGAATTTTATTTCAACCGTTTAAAGATATTACTGTGATATTCAAATTATATAAAAAAGGAATTTCTAAATTCAATGTACGTAAAAACAGCGACTTCAGAAGCATAAATCATTCAAAGTGCATTTTATGCCATAGCTTTGTTTGTAAGTCAAAGTTTTTTGGAAGCATTAAATGTAGAGCTAATTCTCGATATGTCTTGGGAAAAACAGATGACTGCTGACGAAGGTTATAATAACCTTTTTTCTTTTAACTTACTGAACAGAACATGCATTCACTCGGTGCTCATAATTTAACCACCACTTGTGGCTAAGCAACTTAACACAAAATAGTACATACAATCAGAATAAATTAAATTTTAACTACACTACTGACTTCTACTTCAGTCTAAATCCGCTTTATCGGCTGCACACAAAATATTCAGCAGCAGAGCTACTTGCAGGCATGCGGCATAAACTCATAACTAACTATTATACTGCGAGCTCTTAAATACTATTTTCGAACTCATTGATATTTGCATTTACGTTATTTAAATTTGCATTTTGACAGGAAATTGAAATCAAAAGGGAGAGGAAAGTTTCTTAAAATAAAAAATAATTTATTAGTACAAAATAAGATCTTCACATGTTATTGAAATACTTTAGTAATAAAAGGAATTTAAAACTATAGGGTAAATATAATTTCAAAACATGCTGGGGCAAAATAAACTTGCCAAGCTTTTGAAATTTCACAGAAGCTAGCACATTACAAAAGTGAAAACAGTGAATTTTTAGTACTTACTTTATTATTTATTGATATATTATTTGTTTTTTATTGCATGATATAATCCAAATATTCATTTTGGCATCTTACTGATGATCTTTCCAGAATAATTTATTCAGACACGTCATAAATGCTCTCATTAAAAGTTAAAAAACACAATTTTCTTTCAGTACATAAGGAGGGATTTATTGAAACAAAATCAGTTTCTTGATTCAAATTCCAACGATATATAATAAACATTATTATATATCTTTCTCCAACAGACATCAAAGTGAAATGCAATTATAAAAATCATTGATTCTCATTAAAAAAAATATTTTTTCTGTATTTAATTCTGTTCCTATTCAGCAAATATTGAAATCTGTAGCTGAGGGTTATTTATACATTTGCCAGAGGATAAATAAACCCAACGGCCATTCCACTGTTTCGTCGCCAAGGATGATACTGAATGATGCGTCATAGGAGTAGACCAATACTGCATACATAAAGCTAGAAAGACACTGTTAACATCTAACTCTTACACAGAAAATCGCCCGTGAAACAATCAGCATGTATGTCAGCTTCCACTCATCATCGTCCCAACCTAAGCGCCTTAAAATATAAGAAATTATTTATGCATTAATATAATTTATTGACAATATACTTGTCATATGGTGTTAGACTGTAAAAAATAACATGCATAAAAAATAAATTTATATTTAAGAATGAGCTTCCAGGGACTTCATTAAAAAGTTAACTGAATGTTAACGTCTGTAAATTAACTGAATCATTTAAATGACTCTGGCATTTCCAATGGGAGAATCAAAAGCTCTTTGAAATTTGTTGCATAATATATATTTTCTAGAGTTGTCGAGAAAATAGATCAAGAAATACTCTTTCCACACATGCGAAAGAAATTTGTGATCCATCCAGAGACCGAAGGCAGTTTTTAATATGTTGTCTGCATCGGATTGTTTACGATTTTCTGGGTATAATGTAAATACGACTTTGTTTCTGTCGGTCCTTATCATAGTTACCCTTTAGAGCTTTAGGAGATAATTCTGAAAGGCCTTCGGGTGCTTTGCTATAACATATTAAACAAACCAAACAGCTCACGTAATTAATTAACATGTAGAGACATTAGGTATTTTTTGAAAGCAGGAGAGATGAAAAATGAGCAGTCCCCTCGGGACTCGAACCATGGACCTCTCGAATACTCTTCGAGCGTGCTGACCACTTAACCACGAAGACATGCTAAGAAGTTGGGAGAAATACTTTATAAACAAAACCAATCATAAATTTTCACTGACCGTGGCTTCACAATTCTCAAATATAACAGTTTCCACTGTGGCACTGAACAGGGTATAAAATTCAGCTGGAGCTCACCGGAGCCTGGTTCCGGTACTTTTCAAACCTTCATAAAATCGTGATTCCAAAGTGTGCCCCAAATTATATGAGTTCTGGTTCTTTAATTTATTAGTTAACTATTTGTCAATCATTTATTTTCATATATTAACGTTTAATTTATTTTTTAACATTTTATTTAAGTTATTATTTATTTATTTTTTTTAACCTTTCCTAGCGGCCTTTCATAGGGATCCAGCATTTCTAATAGTAGCAATTAAGTCATGAAACTAAAATGAAGCATAAAAAATTCCGATATGCAGAGACATTAAAATTTTTGAATCTTGATAATAAATGAGCGATTACAAACAAACAAACAAAAAATAAGAAGGAACACGTGCGCAATCAGAGCGGACACTAGAGGGGGTAAAATGGTGCACAGCACGTGGGCGGCCAACTTTAAAGGCGGCGAAATGACTCAAATTTATTACATATTTGAAAAATAGGGCGGCCAGTTTTAATTTACACGTGGGCTGCCCGCAGTCCAGGATCGGTACTGCGCGCAATAATAAACCCGTTCGCGAAGCGGGATGTGACATCGAAACATTTTCTCCACAAAAATCATATTTGATCGCCAATTGGCGATACTTCACCGATTATGGAAAGAAACGCTTGTTACGTTGAGGCCATATGAGACTCAGACGCTACCGGAAAAGCGGCGTGTTATTCGCCTTAGGTAGTTGACCGGCGTTAAGTTTCACAATTGGAATAGCAGATCACCTGTTGAGCGACTCATCTCTTAGCAGCAGGACGATTTGTATTTGCCAAAAAATGTCTACAGACATAAGTGTAATGATAGATGAATACCTAAGATTGGGTGATAATCATATGGATGCATTTCTGGTGAGTAATAAAAAATGTTTCCTAATATTTGTCTTGAACTAGTGGCTGTACTATACCTGTATGTAAAGTTTTGCCTTTTTTCTCGCTGATATCAACTTTCTGGTCGTGTTAACTGGTATTTTATACTTGTGAATGGGCTCTAATATTCAGATCTACTGGTTTAATTTCTTGCATCGTATTTTTCATAAATAAAAAACATATTTAAAATATCTGAAATGTCCTGCAACTTCAGATGCATTTACTTAGAATGTAATAGTATATATTTATATATATATAAATATAATCATCAAGATATAAAACCTGTTGTGGATTATTGGAGCTGGTTATATATTGATGGCTGATTTCAGATAATATCGGGTTTTTATCATTACAGAGTTTAATTTTTAAAAATATAATTTAAAAAATTTAGTATTATTTTGAATTCATTTAGTTGTTTTAGTTGTTTTAAAGTAAGGAAATTCTCTGATTATTTTTGCAATTCGTTCAGGTATAATTAAGAAACTTGGCCTGTTGATTATTCTTTTGGATTCACCTTGAGAAAGATCAAAGAATTATCAATTATTATTTAATATTATGTGAATTTGGTTTTATTTTTGCATTAATTTGCTTTTATTTCAGCGTTTTCCCCAAGTTAATGATTCAGTTGTTTTAATTTTTGATTTCCTTTTATAAATTTTGCCTTATTTCGCTGATATTAATTCTGTATATTTTATCTATTTTTCAATTAATTTCATAATATTTTGGGCGAAATTAATAGTATTTATTGATTAAATGCTATTCTCTTTCTGCGCTCTCTCTCTATATATATATTTTCATATTGGGGAAGTTCAATCAAAGTTAAGTTCATTACTTCCTTGTACGAAGTAACGGAAGTCTCGCCCAGACGGTATAGCGGTTAGGGGAGGTTACTACGGTACCGAAGGGCCCGGGTTCGAATTCCGGAGAAAACATGGATGTTTGTAAATGTATAATGTCGGTGCAGAATGGCGGCACTCTAAATATGCAGCTAGCCGAAAGTCCTCTCGTGTGAATTAGCGGGAGACCCTCGGATCCCCCCCGGGGCGCTTTCGTTCAAAATTGGGGGTGGAAAATAGAAGTCCAACCTCTCTTCGGAGTAGGCTCTGGCAACCATTGTATGGACACGACAACAACAACAAGTAACGCTGCAATCGCGAAAAACTCTGTCTATGTATTCGTTTTGGGGAAGTTTAATCAAAGGTAAGTTTACCTCCTTGTCGAAGTAAAGGAAGTACTGCAATCGCGAAAAATTTTGGGTATCATATTTCCACCGAAATATCCACTTTGACCGTTCCCGAACCCATTTGGATGATTTTTTTGCTTGACGTCTGCACGTGCAGACAGAATAAAGGATTCTTTTTTCTAAAAAGGATGTAAAATGAATTTAAAGTGGATTCAAACGGGATCTTTTCGTGATGCAGTACAGTACATACCGTACATATGTATGTATGTGTCTCGCAAAACTCAAAGACGATTAGCCGTAGAACGTTGAAATTTTGTATATGGGACTACTATAACATCTAATTGTGCACCTCCTTTTTTTTTTTCCATCTGCATCACCATACATTTGTATATAGACCCACCCCTTACCCGGCTTAAAAATACGTACCCAAGCTTTACTTTCGCAGTTGTTAGTAGTTGTTAGTCATATACTTTCAATTACAGAAGCGTTTTGAATGACGAAAATGTTCATGTTTTGACAATGTCAAATAATAGAAAAAAAAAAAAAAAAAATGGCGAATAGCGAAATCTATCTTTTAATGCGGTCTCCCGATTTCTATACGTATCTTTCGGAAAGTTTTATATTCGGTATGAAAAATAAAAATGTAAGAAATTTGACTGCCGTACAACAAAAATGCACCGTGATATTTAATTTCAAAATTTGCATTTTTTATGTCATTTTCAACTTTCCTTGAGGACTGGTTCATTAAGTTAGAATAATTAGAGGAAATAGGTTTAAATAAAAAACAGCAAAAAGTGTGTATAATTTAATAGGCCGTACAAGGAAGTCATGTGATGTCCAGAAATGTTTTTTTAAGTATTTATATAAATGTGAGTAAATATATAGTAATGGAATAATAATTTTATTTAGTAATATATTATATTTATAAAAATTAGTATTATATTTAATACAAGTATACAAATAATGTATAATATTTATGTAAATTAATAATACATTGTATTTAATACAAGTGTATTATTAATTTATTAATATAATTAGCGACTCTAATTATATGAATAGCTAAACAAATATATATGCATATATAATGATATAATCTTAGGTGACGAAGTAAATGTCAGATGAAAACTGATTCGTGAAAAAGTAGATGCAATCGTAATCGGTTTAATATTTCTTTTACTGCGGGCAAACATATTTTGATGTAGGAACAGACAATTAGCGCATCTGCGCATCCGATCTTGAATAGTTACATTGGTAATTTTTATAGTTTTGTAATATAGTATTTGAAGAAAGAACGAGCAGCAACGTATAACAAACCTGCAAAACAGAAAAGCTGTTGGTTTGCTTAATTACACAGTATATAATTACACAGTTATTTGGATGAGTAATAATTTCAAAAAATTACGTTCCTTCGACATCTTAGTCGACATTACCACCAGAGTCAGAAAATATGGATTCATAAACTTTACCAGAAAGAGGAGTAAACATTAAAAAAAAAAAAAAAACTAATTAAATTTACACACCAAACTAGTGTAACAAACAGAAAACTAAAAATTTAAAAGTTAAATAACCTTACGAGTCAAACCAAAACAACCTCAAACAAAACTGTACAAATAGAACCAGAAGTAAATTTACGTTCTTAAACAAAAAATTAAAAGTTAACCAAACTTCACGTTAAAGGATAGAAAGATTAACACTACCAAACTTAAATTTGAAGTTAACAATTACAACTTAAACAACTTACAACAATTACTTTAAACTGAACAAAATCAAATTAATAAAATTCAATTACTGACAAAATCAAAACTGAATTAGGAAGTAGTAAATTACTTATAGCCAAAATTAGGAAACAATATTACATAACAATTAATTTTGAAATAATGCAGTTTAGAGCGATTTATTATAAGCTTGTTACTACTTTCAGGGCAGAAAGGGGAACTAACCTAATTAAAAAGGAGACTTATGTGGCTGTTGCAAATTTAAGCTAGTATTTTATCTTAGCTAATTTTATTGTCGTTAATCTCCCGGGGCGACACTTGCTGAGAGATAGCAACTGTGGCAACGAAAGTAAATGTGTGTGTTGTAAAGGAAATTTTTACAAAGGCGCGTTATTAGTGAAATGATAGTTCCTTTATCCTCGCAAAACCAAAAAAACAATTTTTACTTTTACGTGTTTGCTGTGTAAAAATGTTTTCCATTATTATCGAAAAAAGAGGCCATTTCACAGTCCAACTGCATATAGCCTTGAAAAATTCATTAAGTTTTTATGCTTTGCACTGTACAGATCTTTGAGTCTCTAAGTATTTTTGAATTATAATCGAAATAACGCTGAATATGGAGGGATTACCATTTCGCCAGTTTTCACGTCCATTTACTAATTCGAAACTGTTTTCGTTACAATATGTGCCGAAACCGATTTTTTTTCTCCAACGAAGCTGAGATTTTCATATCTAACGTACTCTCTGTCTTTACGAAGTCTTTGCGTGGACCTGGGTGTATCTATTGATTTCGAAAGTGGTCAGAAAGTTTTGACTGTGTTTGCTAATTTTTAAGAAGAGGAAAGCACAAATTTCATATTTGTATCATGTATTGAAGTTGATGCATGCGGTGAATTCTTTCATTTCTTCAGTAGTTATGCAATCATTATAACTAATGATAAGCATTTACATAGCATTGTAATTTAATTTTCGGTATCGTTTGTAGAAGTTTCATGGTGAGGCAAGACATAAGTATAAAATATATAAACTTTATTTAATACCTCAATAATGACATTCCGATGAGAAAAGAGGAACTGTCACTGCATGCACGCCATTCTCTCCTCCATCCTCAGCTCATCAGAGGCGCGCATGCGCAGAACTCACAAAACGTCGTACGGTGTTTCCATGGCAACACCACAGAGTATTTGCCCCCAGTGAGGGAGACCGAACGATACACACACACACACACACACACACACACACAACACACACACACACAAAAAAAAAAAAAAACAGAATTTTATATTATACAATGATAAATGTGAAGGTAAAAGGTACAATATAAAACACACAATAAATTAAACTGCATAATGAAATATTGAATAAATAACAATGTAGGTGGTAGACAGATGTTGAGGGAATTTGACATGTCGTCCGGATTTTGTGATAGTTTAGAAACATTTGACATGATAGGTTTCAATGTGTCTGTCTTTTTGGAAGGTTTAGTGTTAGGGACAAAGGTTTGATCACTAATGAAAAATGCAGGTTTGAGTCGATCAATTGAAACTGTTTGATTTTTACCCTTCGCACGGAGATGATAAGGTTTCATCATATCGCTCCATGACTGGATGAGAACCTGAGTATGGTTGTTGAAGAGGAGGCTTGACTGAGTCAATTCTCAAATAAACATGAGAACACGATTTTAAAGATGGATGAATGTGGATAGGCTCTGAACAGTGTTTTGATGTTGCGATGGGAATCAGAGATTGCATTATAGATAATAAACGATTTGCAATATGTTGGTGTCGGGATGGGCGGAGAAAGCTGATCTGAGCACAAAATATCCGAATGGCAGTTTTAAGGTAGTACCATAGACTAACTCAGAACAAAATTGCTTGGATGTCGTCTTTGACGGAAGATCTAATACCCAAAAGTATAAGAGGTAACGATTCTGTCCAGCGAGGATTCTCTTGCGAATTTTATGCTTTTTTTCCGTTGGCGATGGAAACGTTTCAATGATTCCATTTGATTGAGGTCTATAGGCAGTGGCACAAATACGATGAGGCCCAGCAGGTTCGTGAACTCCCTGAAAAGATGCGATTCAA